TATCGTTGATACATTTTTTAGCTATATCGCCCAGCCCTAATATATATATATATATATATATATATATTCCAGTTTCTAAAGAGCAGTACTGAATATGCAGCACTAAAAATGTTTTATGATCTTATTTTTAAGATTTAATCCCTTTATTTAAAAAAAAAAGCTAAACAACTTTCAGATTCTTTAAGGGGTATGTAAATTTATGAGCAACTGTACTGGCTCTCTAAACCTCAGTGAAGAATCAATATATCTGATACTGAGAGGGCAGACGTTCAAACAATCGCCCTAACCTGATTACTTAGCAAAATCACATTAAGCCCCTTGCGCTAAATACAGGTCAAGGAAAAATGCAGCTGTGGTTTTACAGAATCAAGTCTAACCTCACTGAGAAAATGCTTCATAAAGCGAGCGTAGCATCATGCTCACCCCGCATGGGCCAGAAAACATCTCACACCATCCCCTCGTACGGCTGGTTGAGCCTGTGGCGAATAAGCTGGTATTCATGCTGAAGTAATACATGCTGTGGATGAGTATGAGTCAGGCAGATTCTGTATGCTTTAAATGACCTCATCACTCGTCGCTCATATTTACTGCAGGCCAATTTGTGTATGCATGCATGTGTGTTGAGAGCCAGCACGAGCTTAGAAGGTTAGAGCCTGCTGTGTGATTCAAAGTGACATGCCTCTTTGGCTCAGTATACACAAGAACTTAAGGGTGGGTAGGATTTGGCTATCAGGACTGATATAAACACACACTCACACACACACATACACACAAACAAGCTCTGTTACAAAACCTAGAGAGCTATGAAGATGGTATGATCAAATCGTAACATAACAGAAGTAGCAACAGATAATTTATTTTGTATTGTGACATATGTGAAATGGATTATCAAAAAAAGAAAAAAAAAGGCATGGTGGGGACCTGATATGCATTGGTTGTTAGTTGTTCAATGTGGTTTAAGCAGAGTAAATGATTGGATAAGTCCAACATACATCACCAGAGAGAACTTATTGGAAGAATTATGATATTTGAGAAAACAAAAAACAAAACAAAAAACCTTTCATTTCATGCCTGCCAGTGTTATTTTATCATCATTATACTACTATAGTTGTTAATAATATTTTAAATTTTAATATTAATGTTTCAGTAATTATGTTTTTGTCAATTTTATTCATTTTTAATGTCTATATAGTTTTATTCTTTTTTATGTTAGTTTTAAGTTTTGTTATTTTAGTAATTCAACTTAAACAAAAAAAGAATTTAATAAAGTTTTTTTCTTTTCCTTCCACTTTTTGATTAACCTTTATTTTATTTATAAGAAATGAAAATGTTCTTATGGTTTTAGTTTAATTTTACAATTTACATTTATTCATTTAGCAGACGCTTTTATCCAAAGTGACTTACTATTGAGGAATACAATAAGCGATTCATCATAAAGAGGCAAATAAACACAGGAAGTGCTTGCAGTTACAAAGTTTCAGGCATTGTTCAGAGTAGTACAAGCTAGACAGGGAGAGATTAAGGAAAGAGAAAGAAAGTTTTTTTTTTTTTAAGATGAAGTCAAAAAGAGATGAGTTTTCAGGTGTCGCTTGAAAATTGTCTGGGATTCAGCATTCCAGATAGGGGTGGGAAGTTCATTCCACCAGCCAGGAACGGTGAACGGAAAAGTTCTGGAAAGTGATTTTGTGCCTCTCTGTGATGGTACCACAAGGCGTCGCTCACTCGTAGATCTCCGACTTTTGGAGGGAATGTAGAGTGTCAAAAATGAGTGAAAGTAGGAGGGTGCTGAGCCTGTGGCTGTTCTTTATGCAAGCATCAATGTCTTGAACTTGATGCGAGCTGCAACCTGGAGCCAGTGCAAGGAGATAAAGAGAGGTGTGACGTGGGCTCTTTTGGGTTTTTTAGTTTTAGTTAATTTTAGTTTAGTTAATTTTCGTTTTAGTTAACAATGTTAGCCCTTATGCTGATTTTGTGGTATCATATACTCGTTCCCGATGCAAAGGCTTTTTAAAAGGTAGGCAACTTAATTTTGCCACTTCCTAAGATACTTGTTTTGAACTAATTCTAAGGCAGAATATCACATTTGCTTTATGACTACATGACCCCAGAATGCATTGCAGTGAACTCAGTGCAAAAGTCTTCCAGAGAGAAATGTCAATTAAAATGATAATCCATTCAATACCAAAAACTGTCTATTTTTATTTGTGTGTGCTACGCATTTTTATGGCATGTTTCTGTCTTGAATTCACTGAAATACATTTCAAAAGAAATTCAAAGCAGACAATGCATTCTGGGAAATGAAGTGTTCTTCCAACGCGGCCCACAAAAAATACGTTATACCTATAAATCTTTAGACTTTCGAACAAGTCTTCCTCAAGCCAACATTTAAAGTTTATCTCAACAAACGTAAATTGTTCTAGTTAAATTACGGTTATACGAATTATTATTACTGTAAATTACTGTTATACGAATTTCTTACGATTTTAATTCGGTTTAATTGTCCTTCCTTAGATTCAGGTGAAATGTACTTCCCATTTGCTACCTCAATTCAAATTCAGGAATTTAAAAGGCATCGTTAATTCAGTTTTGAATGACACAGCCCACATCACAGTGGCCTGCTGACCTCCAGAGACAAAAATCAAAGTGAACAGGTTGTAGTGTGTAAAACAGCATGAGACGTTATGAAGGAAAAAAGGAGAATGATTCATTTTAGTGTGGCATAAGCTGAAATATCTGTCGAGGCAGCGAGAGAAGGAGAGATCTGGCAGGCTTTCAAAGGCTCTCTACAGTAAAGACTCCATCTCCTGTAATACCCGGCAGTCCATCCAGCATTACAACACATTAACACCCTCAGTGCCTTTTAATTAGCCTGCCTGGCTTCTGCTCCGAGTGTGTGTGCGTGCATGTTCTTCCACATGCATGCGTAATAATATCAGTGTTGTTGTGTGTGATCATTCTAGTGCCTAATTTAAATACTACTGTCCGGGATGGTATGATGAAAGCAAAAGTGGCGCACTCTTCCGCTGTCTCTAGTAGGGTGGATGAATGGACATCCTGTTCCCACTCTAGAGGCCCGTGTGTGTGATATGGCCGCAGAGTGTGATGTGGCCGAAGCGTGTGTTTTGGTGCTTTGAAGACCCATCCCGCTCTCACTCTCTTGCATTGTGAAAAAGGCGCCCATTTAAAGACAGGATAAATATGAGACAATGCTATGATGTGCTCCGCCAGAAAACTTTAATTATGAACCCACCTTCCTCCCTCTGCACAACACTATATATAGCAATGCCACTGAGATAAAAGAAAGCGGGAGACAAAGGAAGGGAGAAACTGTCCTTTCTCTGCCCGTGTGCATGTGTTTAAAGCAGCGTCAGTGGCGCTGGGCTTGTGAACGCTATCTGGATGCTCTGAGAGGTCATTCCTGTTAGGAGTGAGGTGACAGCTGGTACATGAGGTCATGATGAAAAATCTTATAATGCAGGGCTCTTAACATGGTAGGTTATTCTGTTGCCTACTAAGATACCTCGTTGTCACTGAATTCTATGGCAACAGCGAATGTATCCTTTGTGGAAAAAGCAATTTGAGAAGGCAATGTGAAAAGATTAGTGGAAAAAATAAATCCAAGATGCTGGGTGAAGCAAAGAAAGCACTGATTACAAATATACTTTTCAATA